TCTAGATGACATTACAATAACAACAATGAAGAACTTGAAGAAGTGGTAGAGCCACGCGGCAGCTTTGCTGTTGCACGTATGGGCCGGCTCAAACCGGGGTGGTACCACGACCTCACAGAATACCGGCGTGAAGTGGAAGCTCTGCTTCCGCGTTTCGTCTGGTGAGTGCAGGTGGCCGGAGGCCCAAATCCCCCCCCCCCCCCCCCATCAACATGGTAGCGAAATTAAATAATGATCGACTACCCCAGGAGGGTACCAGCACCCCTGGAGAATCCCTCGCTGAGCATCCACGACCATGTTTCTCCACTTCTGAGCGTGGGTGCTCAGGCTGCCCCGCGTATTCTGGGGGGGGGGGGCAAAATTCCGCTCAAGACTACAACTGCTCGGGGCAAACGGAGCCACAAGACCAAGGCGACCCCTGCCACGCTGTCCGTGAATTTCTGCAATATCAGGGGACTTCACTCTAACCTAAACGCCGTCCACTACCATCTCGAGACGGCGAGGCCGGCTCTGCTCTTTCTGACCGAGACGCAGGTGTCCTCTCCGGCTGATGTCTCGTATCTCTCCTACCCCGGGTACAAACTGGAACACTCCTTTGTGCCTCGGGCTGGAGTTTGCGTTTACGTCAGAGAGGACATCTGCTCTCGACGCCTCGGCAGACTTGAAGGTTCGAACCTGTCCATCCTTTGGCTACGCGTAGACAGCGACGACCATCCGCGCGTCTACGGGTGCCTCTATAGGTCCCATAGCGGTAATGCCGAAACAGACCGACTATTCGACCACGTCCAAATGGCTGCAGATTCGTTGCTACAGCAGATCCCCTCCGCAGAGATCGTGATCCTCGGCGACTTTAACGCCCATCACGCCGAATGGCTTGGTTCACGTTTAACCGATCATGCGGGGAGATCTGTTCGTGATTTTGCCTTGGCATATGGTTTGACACAATTGGTTACTTCGCCTACGCGGATTCCAGATGTGGAGGATCATGCACCTTCCCTGTTGGACCTTCTGCTGACCTCTCACCCGGACGGATATCAGATATCCGTCGACGCCCCTTTAGGCTCCTCGGACCATTGTCTTGTCCGGAGTGTGGTGCCACTCACGCTGAAATCGCGGTTGCATTCTGCAGGCTGCCGCCGTGTTTGGCACTATAGGTCAGCCGATTGGGATGGGATGCGGTCTTTCTTTGCATCCTACCCGTGGGGGCGGGTTTGCTTCTCGCCGGATGATCCCAACGTTGTTGCGGATTCTGTCGCTGATGTGGTACTTCAGGGTATGGAACTTTTTATTCCTTCCTCTGTGGTGCCCATTGGAGGCAAGTCTCAGCCATGGTTTGGTCGCTCCTGTAAAATAGCATCATGCTATAAGCAGGAGTGTTACCAAGCCTGGGCTGATGCATCAGCGTCCCGGGATGTAAACACCAGCGCTCTAAAAAAGAAGTATAATTCCGCCTCTAGGTCCTTCAAAAGAGTCATTGCCAAGGCAAAGTCAGAGCACATAGGCAGAATTGGCGAGAAACTAGTTCGCCTTCCTTCTGGAACCCGTGCATTCTGGTCTCTCGCCAAGGCTGTCCAGGGGAATTTCTGTCAGCCATCTCTTTCATCTCTGCACAGGGAGGACGACTCACTGGCCCATACCGCAAAGGAGAAAGCCGATCTTCTAGGCTCTTTCTTTGCGTCTAACTCGACTCTCGATGACGGGGGGAGTACGCCGCCGACCATCCCGCGGTGTGAGTGCTCCATGCCGGAAGTGCACTTCACACAGCGCTCGGTTCGCAAAGCACTCCTCTCCCTGGACATCCACAAGTCGAGTGGGCCTGACGGAATCCCCCCAATTGTGCTGAGGACGTGTGCTCCAGAGTTGGCACCGGTTTTAACGCGTCTTTTCCGGTACTCCTACTCCCTAGGCGTAGTCCCAAAATCATGGAAGACGGCTTACGTCCACCCGATCCCTAAAAAAGGCGACCGCTCTGACCCGTCCAACTACCGGCCAATCGCCATCACCTCCTTGTTCTCCAAAACAATGGAGTCCATTGTAAACTGCCAGCTCATGAGGTACCTTGAAGATCACCAGCTGAGTAGTGACCGCCAATACGGTTTTCGCCGTGGTCGGTCATTGCCGGTGATCTTCGTTACTTAGTTAACAGTTGCGGCGTAGAGTTCAAGGGGGAGGCATTGGCCGTTAGTTTGGACATTGCGAAGGCCTTCGATCGGGTTTGGCACAAAGCGCTTCTTTCGAAGCTCCCTTCCTATGGGCTTCCCGAGAAATTGTGCGATTGGATCACCAGCTTTCTTGCAGATCGGAGCATCAAGGTCGTTGTAGACGGTGCAAGCTCCGATTGCAAGCCTATTAATGCTGGTTTTCCACAGGGCTGCGTGCTATCGCCAACGCTGTTTCTTCTGCATATCAATGACATGTTGCATACCCGTAACATTCATTGCTATGTAGATGACAGCACTGGTGATGCTCTTTACACCGGCCGAGCCAATATTTCTCGGGAAAACGTCTCCGAGTGCCGGGACAAACTTGTGTCTGAAGTCGAGTCTCTGCTGGACAGAGTCTCGGATTGGGGGCGACTAAATCTAGTCCAGTTTAACCCCCAGAAGACACAAGTTTGCGCGTTAACCGCTAAAAAGAACCCCTTTGTCGTATCCCCTCAGTTTCAAGGGACTTCCCTTGTTGCCTCAGCCAGTATCGGAATCCTCGGCGTCGACATATCGAGTGACGTGCAGTTTCGTGGTCACTTGGAAGGGAAGGCCAAATTGGCCTCTAAAAAGCTTGGCGTGCTCAGCAGAGCGGGACAGTATTTCATGCCGGCACACCGCCTGCAACTTTATAAGGCGCAGGTTCGGCCGCACATGGAATACTGTTCCCATCTCTGGGCTGGGGCTCCCCAGTACCAGCTTCTTCCACTTGACCGCATCCAGCGCAGAGCGGCTCAAATCGTCGACGACCGAGTGCTTTTCGATCGGCTCGATTCACTGGCGCTGCGAAGAGATGTTGCATCTCTTTGCGTATTTTATCGCATCTATCACGGGGAGTGCTCTGAGGAATTGTTCGGATTAATCCCAGCCGCCAAATTTCGTGAACGCACTACACGTCAAACGTCCCGATACCATCCACACCATCTGGATGCTTGGCGGTCCACCACTGTACGTTTTACAAGGAGTTTTCCTCCACGTACAACCTCTCTGTGGAATAGTTTACCACCGGCAATTTTTCCGGACCGATACGACCTGGGGACCTTCAAGAAAAGAGCTTACTCCTTTCTAAAGGGCCAGCAACGCACCCGCAATTCTCCTGGTGTTGCGGTTGATCATGGGCGGCGGTAGTCACTTAACATCAGGTGAGCCGCATGCTCGTTTGCCCCTTCTTCTATAAAAAATAAAATAAACTTCAACACTACGGTGGAAGAAGTGATGCTCTTTAATTCATATTTAAGTGACAGAACGCAAAAAGTTGTCATTAATAGTGTGAGTTCTTCCAGATCGATTGTACAAATGGGCGTGCCTCAGGGCTCAATTCTCGGCCCCTTTCTGTTTCTTTTATATATTAATGACTTACCTTACATAGTACGGGATAACCATGAAATAGTACTATTTGCTGATGATACTTCATTAATTTTCAAATTAAAACGACAGTTATTAAATTACGACGAAGTAAATAATGCTATAGCTAAGTTATTCAATGAATTTAATGTTAATAATTTGCATTTAAATGGAACTAAAACTAAATGTATGAAATTCGTAACTCCTACTGTTAAACATGTTAATACTAATTTAGTTTTAAATGTGGAGGAACTGATTCTTGTTGATACCACGATTTTTCTTGGAATCACACTAGACGCAAAGCTTCAATGGCTCCTCCATATATCAAAACTACCTAGCAGACTTAGTTCTGCAGCATATGCTGTAAAAAGATTAGAACTCTCATCAGTGTTGAAACAGCAAGAATAGTTTACTTTAGTTATTTCCATAGCATTATGTCGTATGGTATTTTGCTATGGGGACACGCGACTGACACTGAAATTATATTTATTTTATAAAAAAGGGCCATTAGAGCAATATATAATTTAAAACCAAAAGTCACTGAGACAAAAATTTAAGGAAGTTAATATATTAACTCTGGCCTCTCAATACATTTATGAAAATGTAATGTACGTACACAAAAATAAAAGTAGTTTTGCAAAAATAAGTGATATTCATTCTGTAAATACTAGGAACAGACACAAGCTAGTAGTACCAGTTACTCGACTCCGAGTCAGTAATTAATTCTTGGGGCGATGTATACGCTTTTATAACAAAATCCCAGAAAATATATATAATTTGTCATACACAAAGTTCAAAAATGTTATTAAACTAAGTTTCTATAAAAGGGGTTATTATAACATTAAGGAATTTATGGATGATAATAAATCCCGGGAAGGGTGATCACTACCAAGCTATTTCTAATTTGTCTTGTGTTGTTAATTGTAAACATGATTGTAAGCTATTATTGGAAAAAAAATAGTCCCGCTGGGTTTCTTGCTGGTTCTTCCCACGACAGAGGTATCTTTTGCGAACTAGTGGTAAATAAAAAAGGGACTTTCAATAAGTATTGTTATAATCTACATTGAATAAAAAAGTTTCTGTTTTTGTTTCTGTTTCTGAAGATCAGACAATCAGCACAAAGAATGTTACCCGACGACAAACTCGATTAAGCCATTAACAATTTCCATCACTTCAAGGCAGCAGCACTTGTTCAGTCGGGAGGCTAATCTTTTGAATACCACACCCGAGTTACAGTATAATATGTAACTCACATTTTATGTTCCAAAGATGGAGACAATACAACAGGACGCACATCCTTCCAATGCTTTTAAACATAAAAATGCATGACTTTTTTTTAAATTTCTTAATGTATTTCCTACATTGGGTGTTTTTGATAATTAATCCAAAACATTCCCCTCTTTTTACATAAGCCTAAAAATTTATGAATCTTATTAAAGCTTACAAACTTACAATTTCTTTCATCCAACTTAAGATATGTGTTACATAAATTAAGTTCCTTTTTCCAGTCTGGATCTGATCTAGTTGTTAAAACCCATTCTCTTTGATGCCACGCACAGTACGATTTAGGATTAATTTTCAAACAATATTCTGTGACACCTAATTCATCATTAAAAAGTTTAGTTAACTCCTCTTCATCACTTTTACTTTTTCTGAAAATCCATGAAATCATTTAAAATTAAATACATATGTTTACTCTATACATAAGCAAGCTATACTCTATAACAGTAAGCACGGGTATAAACAGTCTCCAAATTGCAAGAGTGATGCGATTGAACACAAAAGAACATGCACGGTGTTTATTTCTCTCGCCGGTATTTACTTGAATTACCAGAATTTTTAGTTCCATGGTAAAATATGCAGTCACAAGCTTTAAAATGAAACACGAAAGCAAATTTGGAATAATAATGATATTTATTTTCATCGGTAAGTAATATTTAAAAATACTGATTTTAACTAAATTAATGAGTGTCAAAGGGCATTGTGGGAGGCATGGGGCTGGGTCGACATAGCACGTGCTTCCGCTCTATCCCCTTTTTGTTTTCTTTGAATTAAAACTATTACTGTACTACGTTGTACACAAATATTTTGTACATGATTTCTTTCATCAATCTATATAATCTTAATTTTTAAAAATATTATAATCATAGTATTCATAGATCAATGTTTAAAATAAAACTTTTGAATAGCTTCATTATATAGTGACATAATGAAGATATGTACAATTAAATATTTATTTAATTTCAGATTTGCAAAAAACTGGGAATTAGCAAATAAATGGCAAAATAGCTCGATGACTGGGAGGCAACACTAGGAATTTCGTTTACCATTTTAGTAGTTTGTCTATTTTTGAAATCAAATTGTGCAAGGTAGTTAAGTACACTTATTTTTAAGCAATTAAAAAGTAGATTTGGCAGTTATTTATGTAGACCTATACATACATTAGTTTGAAAAAATTGCAACATGTGTTTCATTTTTTCACTAATGAATGTCATTTAAAAATATGTGGACATTAGAATGAAATATCTACTGTGATCAAGCAAACAAAATAACAATTATATAATAAGTTAAACCTTTTTAAAGGTAGTAAGTTAGATTTTTGTGTTTCATTAATAAACATCTTTTTATAAATTCATACCTGTTTTTTGTTGATCTGCTAAAACCTAACTAATATTTACTAAATACTTACCTTATTAAACGAATGACTTAAGTATATTAACACATAGATGTCAATCATGACGCATCACTATTTAACCGTCTTATCATTATCAGTATCTAAAGAACATTTGCTTATGCTTGGAAAAATGGACGATGAGGACTATGCGTGCACTATAGCTTGCTTAAGTATACTCTAAGATATGTAGTACAAAATTTTAAAACATTACCTTATCTGTTCTAATATTTCTCTGCGGATATTCCATAGTGTGTAAATATCAGGATTGGACACTAACACTTTGCCAGTAAGCTCCAACAACTCTTTATCATACTCATGTTGTTGTCTCTGAAATGTAAGTTTACCATAACAGAACAATAACTGTGAAGATTAATATAGACAGATATGTAAATGAAACTGGTGAATTATTGTAAAATTGATTTAATGCTTGCAAGGCCATAAAGCTATAAACCTATTTAATATCAATAATTTGAAATGTATAGTTTTCAATAATTATAAATTTGGTTTAACTGGTTAACTTTTCAACAAAACTGAAAAATTGTGTATTCATTATATATCTACTGTAGAAAAAAGTAAAAGGTGACCTCAGCAAACAGGGTATTAAGAACCCTTTAATTTTGCAAAATATTTTTTATCTATTTATTACAAAGATTTATTGGTGATTATTTGCTATATAAAAATATAAATCCTATAAAACCTAAAGTTCACATATTTCCTTACTGCTACACGAAAAACAACACGCCTATAGCTTAGGTAAATCGACAGAATCCGCACTTCACCACGTAATAACAAAGATTGAAGGGGCTGTCCAAAACAAAGTAATATGTCTAGGTTCCTGAGGACATAGATGGTGCTTTTGACAGAACATATTTCTCCAGCATAAAAGGTGCCATTCACTGGTACATAGAAACTTCAATAATCTACAAGCTCAGCTTTGGAAAAATCTGCCTGCCTGAAATAAACAGTTGTCTAACCAAGGTTCTAATGAGATTGAACAAGCCCCAGATCAGGATAGTAACAAGTGCTATTACAGGACAAGGCTCCTTAAACAAACATTTATTTACCGTAGGTATTACAGATAGCCCCCTGTATAGGGCAAGTATGGGGAGGAACAAACAGAGGCACACATGTTGCTGACAAGTCTGGAGGTTGCTGTATACAGGGCTAAACATCACAGTACGCCAGGATCGCTCCCCGAAGTTGCTTGCAACATCAAAGGACTGTTGAACTTCTTCAGGGAGATTTCATGGCTCGAATAATCATATTATTCATGCCCACACACAAAATATGCACTTAGATGTGGAGTTGCGGAAAACAGCCCGTTGTAAACTAAACTAAAAGTTCACACAAAAATGCCACAAGTTATGGGTCTAAAAATCAAATATTTTACATAAGAGAAATTATTTTAAAAATAAAAATACATATTAAAAATCATGTTTCCACTGGTCATGTGTCAATAGTTAACTATTCGGCTGTTTGACCCAAATTGCAGAAAATGTTAATGATAACAATCATTTTTATATGATCCCAAACAAATAATTGACGGAACCTTTTATACCAGTGACTGACTGTATTGTCTACAATCATTTATACCTAGTCCGGCCATAAGTTCTGTTATAAATGAAAATGCATTTTTTTAAATGAAGTAATGTAATATTACTAAAACTTATATGTACATATTTGTTAATCTCAGCAAAAAATAAAAATAATATTCTATTCAAAATGGCCACCTTTTGATTTTATATAGGCCTTTAATCTGTCTGGCCATGAATCTATGGTAAATCCATAGATTTAGAAACCCAAGCAAAAAAAAACACCCCCCCCCAACACCCCCCACAAAAAAAATTTTTTTAATTTTAAAAAAAACCCACCACCCAAACCACCACCCCCCCCCCCCCCCCAAAACAAACCACCCAAAACCCCCACAAAAAAAAAAAAAAAGTTTATCGACGATAAGCACCGAGCTTCAGGTTTTGTTTTATAATAGGCGACAGAGTCCCAGCGGGAATCTTGATTTCTCGTGATAAGATTTTATGCTTCGTAATGAGATTTTGACGAGTTCTAACAGCATGCGGCCACCCTGATCTTTTATGGTCTTCAATAGAGTAAGTGTTGTTGTATCTGTTGATAGAATGATATACGAACATACGCCTGATACCAAGCTTTTGAAGTGTCTGGACTATGACTGACGGCTCCATACCTACTTTGTACAAGGCAATCAACGCAATCCTGTTTTCTTTAACACCCCATTCCAAATTGTAATTCGATAATGAACACGAAAAAATATGTAAAATGGCGCGAAATCGTAAGAACTTTTAAAAATAATGAATGCATTCCAAATTCAATATTATTAAAAAGTTGAAAAAAAAAGAAAAGTTTTGATGTAACAGTATTTATGGCCAGACTAGTTATAAGATCCCAAACAAATAATTGACATAAAATTTTATACCAGTGTATTGTGTAAGTTTTATGCAAATAGGCTTGTTTCTACTTATTTACACACAAATAAGTCACTCCGTCCAATCTGTACTACAAAAAGAAAAATAAGATCTACTATTCAATGAAGAGATGAACCTGAATATTTCCCATCAAATTTTAAACCACATTTGACATTCTAACAACTTACCTTAAAAAGAGAAAAATAAGATCTACGTAGATATATTCAATGAAGATTGATTGTAGGATTTATACAGTTGAACCTGAATATTTCCCATCAAATTTTAAACCACATTTGTACATTGTCTAACAAACTTACCTTATGATGAATCTTTTGCATAACATTTTTAAAAACTTTAAGCTTTTCTTGCCTTTCCTTTTCTTTCCTAAGTTTTTCTTCTTCAGTAGTTCGAACCTTTACTCTGCCGTGCTGAAAATATAACAAATTTGCTAACAGTATCAGTGATTAGGGTGGATTTTTAAGGCGTAAAATATTTTTGTAACAATTCAAATCCAAACACAACACCATCTTTTAAACATTCCTCTAGCACTTGTGATAAAACATTTGAAACACCTACATATGAAAATAACCTATGCCTAAAATTAATTACCATTATTAATTGGCCAAAATTTTGAGTCTTATAAATTTAATAATATTTTGAGGGCGATGTTCCAAAATAGAACCCAGAGTACTGTCGTACTGTCCATAGATTACTGTTACTGCGTATCAAAGAGTATAATAAGTATATACAGGAATGCGTATATACTAGAGGTACTATCTAAAGTTGTTCAAAACAACTATAAATCAATAGCACGCTACAGACTATAAATTATAAATTTCTAGCGCGCTATTAAATACGCTATGTTATAGCGCGCTATTTATAAGAAAGCGTGTAGGAGGCCGGTAAGCGCGTTAAGTTTTACAGCACGTTGTATCTCTTAGCACGTTACATTACATGTCGTTTATTGGATATATCGCGTGTTATATAAGAACATTATTTCGTAATAAGTCGCATTTTAGACTAAAATAAAATAAAGCGGTAAAGAAAAACCAATGCACGCGTTTTCATACTTTTCAGGCTTACTGATTTCTATAATCCTAAAAATATTTTTAAGTTATGTACTATTTCAAGTAGAATTAATTTTATTTTTAGAATCGAAATAAAATTAATCATTTTTTATTATAATTGACGTAAACGTTATTTTAACCTTAATATAAATTATAAATCAATTAAAGGTGTATTTAAAAGTTTATTGATTGTATTTATAAAAATCTACTATTTACAAACACTATTATATATTTGTATTTATATTTTATTTACATTTAAAAAACATTAATTAGGCTTCTTTTGTAGCAGACAGCTGTGTCCTTCGATCACTTATAAATATACAGTATACACTAACTAAATAACGTCTAACGCTAAATTAGTTCGCGCGCGATGAACAGCGTGCTGCTAGATTAAATTTGCGTCACACGTCTACTTCCAACAGCGCTGTTGCTAGAACTAATAATTGTCGCTTGATATGAAGCATAGCGCCATGGCGACTACTTACATAGCACGCGCTATGCGTTATGAAGAGATAGCGCGCTATAATATGGCGCTATGCGCTATATTAACCACCATTAATCGACGCAATAGCTACACTGGTGATTCGTTCCAAAACATAGGACGTTATATGACGTCATACATTTATGCCATATTGGAAAAGTGTTGGCGATTACTTTGTCATTTTGTGCTCGAAAAATCATTATATCATCCTAATGGATATACAAGCAATTATTCTATAATTTTTTGTATTTGCATAAATAAAAACAAATTCTGGCATGCTTCATTCAGCGCACACACAATTAAAAATTGTTTTATTGTGGCCGGATATCCGACGCAATATGGCGGCGGCATGCCAGTACAATACAGTGACAATTGATGACGTCATTTGCATTTGCCAGTGTACTGGGTTGTATTTCGGAACATACCCAAAGTATCTTCGAAACGGAGGGGTAGCGGGTACACTTCCATAGTTCCATACATGGGGTCCAATAATTTGCAAAGAATGTAGTGCCATCTTATACAATGTCCGCATAAACATTGGCTACACCAATTCCGGTTATTGATTGTGGAATTTATGTAATTCTCTAAAGTTGTAACATAAATATAAAGAATTAATAGTTATAAGGACATTTTAAAGGTTTTTCCTAATTAAAAAATATATGGAATAAAATATAATTTTTTTGTCGGGAGGAGATGCAATAAGTTTCTCGAACTGGCAAGTGGTAAGCATGGGCGCTTTCAGTTTTTATCTGCAACGGTTACATAACCGATATCTAGTTTTCTTATCGTTATTAAAAACCGTTTTCAGATATCGATATCAATAGTAACGGTTTGCTATTGAATGTGCAAACGACAACCGAAACATAACCGCAAACTGTACTACCAGTGCAACATTTATTTTATGAGTTACATAGATTATTCTAGTTTAGAAGTCAGAGGTTCTAATGTTATTGTTATCTTAGATGTAATATTTAAACATGTACGTTAATATATATTTTTTTTAAAAATCAATGTTATGCAGTAATAAATTATATCTTTACTGTTACCCCACGGTTTAAAAAAACTTTTTATTCTTTTTAACCCCCCCCCCTTTATATAAAAAGAAGAAGAAAACACCCCACCCCCCAACCCAACCCACCCCCCAAAAAAAACCAAAAAAAAATAAAAAAAAAAAAAAATTACTCCTTTTTTAAATACTAATTTTATATAAATTTAAATCTCTTCTTATTTTTTAAAAACGTAACCTCGACACTAGGATTTTCTCTTGTATCATGTAGGCAGTTTACATACATAAATTGTACAAGGACAAACATCCAGACCCGGAACAATTATTTGTAAGCCATACAAATATCTGTATCGTGCGGGATTCGAACCCGCGGTATTTAGCGTTGTAATTGAAAGCTGCTGTGCCACGGAGACGTCAAATTTTATTATTTAGTTGATTTAAAATAGTAATTTGTAAATATTTATTTATATATTTTGTTGACATAACATAAAACTGAGGTTTAATAAAAATAAAATTACATAAATAATAGACAATAACCTAATTAACAAACTAAACCGATAATATTTCTTCTTAAGATCGAAGAAGATGATGCACTGTGACACATACGAGTGTGTATAAATACATAAGTGTATGTATAAATACATAATCTACGTTATTCAAAAGTCATAGATGAATAATTTAAATGTTTCCCTGTAATACAAAAGTTTCACTTCTGTCGTGTGTCTTCACGACACACACTGTTCATAGTCTTTATTACGAAAACGTTGCTGCTCATCTCCTGATTTGTTTCCTTATGTTGCCTTTTACGACACCCACGGGATGATAATGGGGTAGTGGATTAAATTACGTTCATTCTGTCCTTATTTATTTCTATAATTTTCTTTCCCCATGTTTTTTTCAAATTGAGATCATATCAGGATCAGGATCATGACAGGATCTGAGTTTGATTCCAATGTTGTATTCTTAAGAAGTAAACATAATTTATATATATTTATAGAAAATTATTTTAGTTACATAACATAACATAAACACTCACGCCTGTTACCCAGAGGGGTAGGTAGAGACTACAGACTTCCATTTGGCACGATCCTGACACACCTCTCTTACCTCCTTCACATCCATACACCTACGCATACATGCTCGTCGGTTAAGGATACTCCTAATTTGGCCCGTCTTCAATAAATCGCCAATTTGGTCGATAAATTTTCGCCTAGGACGTCCCTTTCCAATTCTGCCATCCACTTCTGCAACATAAATTTTCTTTGTCACTCTTTCCTCATTCATTCTTTCCACATGACCAAACCACCGCAGCATTCCTTTTTTAATCCTGGTCACAACATCATCTTGCAAACCACACTCTTCTCTTATTACACAATTTCTTACCCTGTCATTCAGATTCATCCCTAACATACTCCTTAACGACCGCATTTCTACTGCGTTTATTCTACTCTCGTGCTTCTTCTGCCACACCCAACTTTCACTACCATACGTTAAAGTAGGGACCAACACAGCATTGTGAATTATTTTAGTTTATTTATTAACAATTATTTAAGTTGGCGATTTTCCTTCACGCTTAACTAGGCTTAGTACTAGCAGAAAAGTTTTAAAATCGAATTCTCAATTAAATTTAATCAAATTTAACTCTATTAATCGCAGGTTTACCTGATTTGCACTAGCCGCTAATTCGGCTCCGGTGGAAGAAGTGGTCAGAATTGTCTTTTTTATCGAAGTGAGACCATATTTCACTAGCCTTACGCGATATTTTGAAAGTCTATATTCAAAAATTATTATAAGTCTAAATCAACTTAAACTATACTATGCTATATTATATTTACACTTTACACATAATTGTCTGAATTACAACTACCTAATGCACAAAATGCACGCAAATATAACAAATAAATGCATAAACACAACGTCAAAAATTAATTACTCAATGGATGTTTTTATCTTAGGAGCCACCAGGACCAAGTGCGTAATTGTTGCGTTTTAGAAAAAAGCAAATTCTTAACTTTTCATCCAAAATACAAAAAACATAAACATAAAGTTGCCAAAACCAAATATAATATGAACATACAAATGCAAGTCTTGTGTCTATTGTCGTAAAAATCATTTAAATTTAACAACTCTCACAATGTAGTTGTGAGCACAATGGTTAAAATTGCAAACTTAAAAATTAGCAATTTTAACCATTTGAAATTCGACCTTTTTCCTTTAAGTAATTATATCTAGATGTGCATTGTGTACCGTGTGAAACTAAAACTGGGTACCAAAACAGAAATCCTCTCTTTCTATACGTATTTATGATACCGTCGCAAGAACAAGAAACAATGAATATCAACGAAGGACATTGAATCGGTTTAGTTCATGGGCCGTGTTGGCATATCGTTCCAGTTTTTGTGTTGTACGTTTTACAAATCTAAGCCTTGTGCCTAATGAGCTAAAGATCATTTGAAATTTGATAACTCTCACAACTACACAAACTTAAAATTTAGACAATATTAATTATTTAAAATTCGACCGTATTGCTCTAGCTATATATTATAAACACACCGGCACAATTAGCGGAACACAAAAAAAGCAGGATTTTAAAATCTTTTACTTGAGGAACTGGCCAGTTATGATATTTTTTTAATTTATTGTCAAATTTGAAAATAGAAAATTAGATGACATACACTTTTTTCATTCATTTGTTTTATTTTCCCGAACAATACGTTTTGTCAACTTGTTCGAGTAATAACTACGTAATTGTAATTTTTTTTGAAAAATTGCACTTAATGGTTTTTTATAAATTTGTTATTCTATAGGCAATTTTGTTTATTAAAAGCTCTTTATTATGCCTGACTTAACATCACTGGAAATGATTAGGGCTGATGAAATGAGAAAAAATGGCCATACCTACAGCAAATTCCCTCGATATGAATCCGATAGAGCATGTCTGGGACTTGCTAAAAAGAAGGGTTAAATCCAGAATGCCACCCCCCAACAATCTGAATGAACTTGGAAACGCATTACTTGAGGAGTGGGAGCGGTTGCCTCAAGAAATCATCGATAACATAATCTGTAGCATGCCCAGACGAATGGAAACCGTAATCAGAGCAAGAGGGGGGAAACACTCGTTATTAATTTTGCTTTAATTTTATTGTTAAATCATTTAATGCTTACTTTTTATTATTTTTTGTGATGGTTCATAATCATCTAAAAATTTGACTTATTTGAAATTTCTTTATTTTTCAATAAAAAATAACGAAGACTTTTCAAAGTCGTTGTTAAAAGATGTTAATCAATTTGTTATTTTGTGTCTAATTACATTTTCGTCAAATATTTGCGTTATTATCTCATAGTCTCACTTTTTTTCTGTTCCACTAATTTTGCCGGTGTGTATATAACGCAATGTGCACCGTTGTGTGTTAACTACCAAAACATCGTATTATCCATATTCGCTTCATCTCTTTCTATACTTATTTAAAATATCGTTGCAAGAACGAGAAGCGACGAATATCAACGAAGATCATCGGTTAGTGGGCGCTTTTCCGTTTTGGGAGATCGTCCCAAAGTTTGCGTTATGCGTTTCGGTTTTGTTTTCGTACGTTGGTTAGGTATATGGTTTTGGTTGGATACGTGATAACGGTTTTGTACTTAGGTTTATCGATATGATATGATATTTGATAACATAACGTTATTAGTTATGTTTTGATATATCGGCAATATCGGTCTCACTCTCATGCCTAGCAATGGCTACCGTTTCTGTACAATAATATATTACTCTACTATGCATATCCAGTATATGGCATACTCCGATAGGAGTAATAGTGTTCTGTGCTCCATGGCTACCGGCGTGTAAGCATTTAAGTAAGTATCATATTAGATATTAGTCTGTGGCATTATGCAAGTTGTTGTGTTGTTGTTTTCACCAACGTTTTTGCCATTTATGTTGATTTATGTGATTTTCGGTTGTTGCTACAATAAATTTGGTTGAGTTGAGATTAGCCCTCCTCCCGTCATATTGTTTTTGGTGATGTATTTTGCGAAATAGACGCTTTTACATCTTGTTTGTTAAAATGCCGAGGCGTTGTGCTATTGGATGTAAACCGGGTTTTCTTTAGTAATCTGCTGCATGAATATATGGTCGCCGAGTGGGTGGGGGAGGGGGGGGGGAGGGGGCGGAACCTCCCCCCTGAAAGGAAAAAGTGCCGGAAACCCCCCCTTTTTTTTTATGAATTTTTAAAGTTTTGTTACATTTAAGGAAAATTCGCTTTCGTTTAATAAAAAAAGGGCGTCCGGCGACGAAAAACTCACATTCGGGTCCCGGTGGGAATGTGGGAGTATTTAGGGTGGGAAAAACGGTGGGAATTAACACTATTTTGACTCTGCTTCTGCTCCAGCGCTGCGGGAAGTGCAGCCCTTTCGCCCTTGCCTAACTAAGCACACGCCCCGAGCTCACCTGCGCAGCTTCGGCTGTTTGGTCGCCTTCGGCGACCAGCCTCAGCCGCTACGGCTCGTACGCTGCCTACGCTTAGTTACAGCGGGCGAGGGCTGCATTCCCTCCGCGCTTCCGGATTTTCATATACACTCTAGGGGTAAGAGCGGAAAGACCACGTGGAAGTTGGGGTTGACAGATTCGGTTTTGTGATTTATACCTTCTGGTACTAGAGTTTGATCAAAAGAAATGACCAAATATAATATTATAAAAACATTTATTTATATACATGGTTAATTACTTTAATTAGTTCCATAAAAGGATCCTTTTTATTTCTTTGCACTGACCTTCTCCACAAATATTCTATAATAATGTCTGAAAAGTTTTCCAGGTGGTTATAATTGTATTTACTGAAAAATCTTTTAACCACCCGCCATTGCGATTCGATTCTTTGAGTATGAGTGCCATCAGGGGCAACAAATGGGTTCTCAGGATCTGAATGGTTCACCTTCTTGTGAATGTACCCATGTTGGGGTCAGCAGCCTCGAGGGTAGCCAGTCGACCAATGTCAGATGTTGTTTTCAGGGCACACCTCTAGTCGTAAATCCTCACTTCCATCCTCAATGAGGCCGAGGATCCAGTGGCCCTCAATCTGCCTTCCTAAAATCAACAATAAACAATTTAGAGTTAGTAAATATTCAAGATATTTATTTATTTATTTACTCTATATTGTACAGTGTACACCAAAACCTAATAGTAAAAAATTACAAAAAAAAAAAAAAAAACAAATACAAAAGTACAAAATTTTATAGCAGAATATGTACAACAGGCTGTCTTATCACTCTGAAACTGATTTCTTCCAGATATTTTGGCTTTAAAAGGTATTCAAATATATTTAATAAAAGGTATTAAAAGACAATTTGGGTTCAAAAGTAAACTTTAAAATAAATAATGTGTAATAATTTAAGACTAACATAGGTTAAGCTAATTTACTAACATATTATGGACTATATGTGGGTCTGAAATAAATTTAATTATCATTATATTATTATTATAAATATATTGTTTCAGTCTATAATATAAGAAAATCAAATTACCTTTATTATATTTCCGTTTTCCAAATTTTGACTCGTCTATTTGGACTACTTTTCCTGGGCCACCAATCTTGCCGATGGCCTCTTGTTTATTATATTATATTTGGTAAATGACGACTGTCTCCCGGCAGTAATTTTTTTTAAAACAGAGTACAGACCATGCTCTATTGCTATCTCTTTGTAATAATTATATTCTTATTTCGTATTCGTATCATTTTTAAATGGATATAACCTCAAAACTATAATTGTCGATATCTCGAAAACTAAAGATTTCCGGCATAAAAAACAGCTAGATGATAATTAATAGTGTCATTGCCTGTCAACTAAAGCTAAAATGATCAAATAATTATGTTGTTATTTCGTTTCGTATCATTTTTAAATGGACATAACCTCAAAACTAAAATTATCGATATCTCGAAAACTAAGGATTTCCGGCATAAAAAGCAGCTAGATGGTAATCAATAGCATCATTACCTATCAACTAAAGCTAAAATGATCACTTAAATCGTGCAGCAGATTACTAAAGCCGACCCTGTAAACCCACTAGTAAGTAGATCTTATCTTCCGATCATGAAAATTAGTTTTTTACCTACGCTTTACAAATTTTAGACCGGTCACGTACGGGCTAAGTATAATAAAAATATAGTTTTCGATTTATTTATTTTTCTCTCGGAGACTGATTGTTTGTCGGACAGACAACCAATTAGTCTTCCGATGGACGGCAGCCCTACCTCGTATCTATACCGAGCGCATGCCAAAAATTCTCGGGAGTGTTAGACTTGACCAGGGAAGGACTCGCATAATACCAGAATAAAAAAGAAGCTTAATGCTTCTATGCTTCTTATGATATTTGGCTAAACTTTTGTGTTTGAAATTTAATTTTGTTTTTCAGGGGGTGTACTTCATGTTTTTCCTAACCCTAACAAATTCCCTGAGCAATTTAAAGCTTGGGTTCGGATTGTTAGTGGTAAAGATGAATGTGATTTTGATTACAAAAAAATGAGAATTTGTGATAAACACTTCACTGAAAGGGATCGGAATCGTAACAACCGCCTGAATGCACTAGCAGTCCCATCACTTCTTCTGCATGGTATGTAGATTACGATAATTATTATAGCCAATACTAACCCCTTGACATACGATGACATTCCGAAGACTTCATTCATTTCATGTGCCATTGTAGACTTTGATGTCTACAAGATGTCAGGAACTGTCTTTGATGAACACCAAAGGGCAGTTTATTATTAGATTCTCTGTTTCGGTTGTGCATCAATGCTGTTTTGTTTAAACTCTATGCTATGGTCATTATACCTTGCATCCTGATCACCATAGCACAATTAGCACATATACATTTGAATTTTGTAAAAATCTGAAATAGTTCATTCAACATGTCCTTATGCTGGCATGATAAGAAGGATGTGTATATGATAAGCACAAAATACTCATAGGCAGAAATGGTTTATATGGGGATAATAAGAAGGAAAAAGAGAAGTAAAGAAGACTGTATTGAAATCAAACTCACAAAGACCTTGTTTTGTCTTGCATGTTTCCCTGTCATGCAAAAGTGTGTGTTTGATATAGCTATTTATAAAACTTGTGTGATATTCCAAGTTATCTACTTCACATAAGCTATCAATTATGAATTTTTGATTGAATATTGCAAAAGGTAAGCTTTGTAATTTGTCTCCAAACTATGCGACACATGGCAGACCTATTCAAAGTAAATGCCCAACTCAGTTACAAGCAATAACATTGGGCATATTTTTCTGAAAATATACCTGAGATCCGCATGATTGTTCACAATTGAGCCAAATTAAATTGTATTCTATGGATGTGTCAACATGCATTTTATTTGTATGTCAAGGGGTTATTAAAAAAATTTGTTATCATAAGTAATTATGAGTTACTTAGTACCTGAGTAGAGTCTGCATGCATGTAATATTTTTTTACTTTGTATATAATTTTAAAATAAAAATTTATATAATTACTTAATATTAATAATTTAACCTCTCATCTGTCCATATGCCATAATATGGTGTCAAGTGATAGCAAACTATTTGTAACATATACAATATGTAACATAATGGATGCACACCCTCAGACACCCCAATTAGTATATTATGTTATAATCATAATGCATACACTGAATTTTTAGTTAAACATTTTTATGCACTGATTATTTATCAAATTAGTTATACTAATTCCGGAAGAATGTTGTGGTCACACTAAAAATCCATGAACGCAACGACTTTAACGTGCTTGAAATAAAGTTCATTGTTCTTTATTTTTGTTGAATGACAGAATTAGTAATAATACAAATAAAACTGCACTCTTAAAAGTCTTATTGCCTTAAGTTACGGTCCATTTCAGTTTGTTTTTCTGTACACATTTAATGTGACTGCAATTTACATAGTTTTAATTATTTTTGGGATAAAAAATTACCTATATTAAAAATGATAGGAATCGCTTCAAACAAATTACTTTCTCAAAGTGCATTAATTACATTACATGTTGTATATAATATATATGCATCCATATATATAACATATACATCTGCACGATTGATTTTGTCTAAATTTGATTTAATGATGTGTTTTTTTTTTTGTGAACCTCTATATTTTTGTCCCCATGTCAAGTAGAGCTAAGTGAGGCCTTCCTCAACCTTGTCGTAAACGAAAAATTTATGAAAGACTTTTTTTTTTTTTTTTTTTTAATAATTAAATATGCTTTGGACGTACAAGTAAAACAAATAGTACTTGGAATAAAGGCTTTAATTTATAATTACTACACCTTTGCAGAAAATTGGGGGAAAAATACTTTTCTTACTCTCATTTTCAAATTAGTATCACTTTCGAAGTAAACCTGTATTCAAGTTATACGTAATCTGATAGCTTCTTTAATAAAGTTTAAAGTTGATATATGATTTTAATATACCTTTTATATAAAATATCTTGGAAATAGTCATTTTAATCAACAGCAGGAAGTATTCTGGAAGTACTTCGGGAAGTGCTCAACAGAAGCGCCATATTGGCCAAAATAACCCTGACATATGAGGGGATATTAAGAATTCTTCTTCTTCTTCTTGCCCTTATCCGTACATATTTAGGGTTAGCGTAGTACATCTTCCTTTTTAAGTCATACTTTTGTTTCTTGGCTTATTTTTTTACAACCACCTGCCTGCCTGTCATTAACCCTACCCTGGAAGTTTTCTTTACACTTGACTAGATATTCACAATTTAAGGAGTCACTGATAAAATACTAGAAATTATGCTGATATGAAATTTTAATGAGCGAGTATTATTTACTACAATAAGACAATATAACAGAAAGTTTAATTGAACTAACAATATTTTTGAGCAGCATAATAACTTATGATACCAATAATATTTTCAGGTAGTCATGCTGATGTGCCAATGCAAAATGAACAAAGTGCCTCAACAAACATAATGTCTGAAAAATCTCTAGGTCAACCGGAAGTATCTGATAATAATCAGTCCACATCAGGTATGTTTGCTATTTTATATATTTTAGTATTAGTTCTACAATCTACAACTATCTGTGAATACCATAAATTATAACGAATAAAAACTTAGAATTTATAACTAATATTATTAATATGTAACTGTCTTTCTACCTTTGACTGCCAAAACGCTGAACAAAATGCACATTTATTTACACTGGGAAAACATAATATGTAATGACATATAAAAAATATACAACAAAACTGATAAATTGATTGAACATCTTTTAAGTGTGTTAAAATATTGCCAAGTTATTCAAGGTCATAAGCCTATAACCTTGTGAAGATTTATAAAAATCTATGCAGTAGTTCCAGTTTTCAAAGGGACAGACAGACAGACAAAAATAAAAATAGGCTTCTACAAAAATAAGGAAGTTTTTTTTTATAGGATAGGGTGAAAAACAAGCACACAGTCCACCTGATGGTTAGTGGTTGCTGTGGCCCATAGACATCTACATCTATCCTCGATTACAAATCAAAATGCAGATGCATTGTCACCCGTGAGGACTAAGATGGAATACCTATTTACCAGTAAAAAGGGTCTCTGGTTCTCTACACTCACCATTCGAAACACAGCAGCATTAAGCTACTATTTCACACTGGTATTCTGTGAGAGTGTTGTCCTTCCCTGGTCGGGCCGACCCATTCGTGCTACAACTATATTACTAATATAACTGCAGCATGGATCTACCACATATAAACAATTAAATTATATAACAGTTTTATATTAATAAGTATAACTTTACTGTAACACCAATAAAAGAAAAATTGCAAAAAATAAATGAAAATCCATCTTATAGTCTAGCAGTGCAGTGTTTGTTATTTAATATAGAAAACATAAAAAATAGCCTTTATTTCTCCATTTCATTTATTTTTTGCCTTTTAGTTTAGGTTTCCTCCAACTTCTTTCATTCTCTATCAGCTGTCCTAGAGTCACCTTTAATTTATTTACCCATTTTCTTGTAGATATTTTATTTAGTATTGTTTACTAATTAATATTTTAATGATAAATTGTATTTTTCAGACAATGTTGCTGATGTGCAGACACAAATTAAAGCAGGTTTCCCGATAAGCACAATGTGTGAACAATCTGCTGGTCAAACTGACAGTCATCAGTGTGCATTAGGTAGTTTGCTATTTTATATTTTTTTAATAATATTCTATCAATTTTATAATATTCTATCAACAATTCCTCTGCAACTATCTGTGAGTACATACTGTATGTATACTGATAAGCTCAGTGCTGCCATGAGAGTTCTCTTGATGATAAGATTTATAGTGGACTGATGAGTTTTTAAGGTTTCATATTGTAAGAGTGCCAAGGGAATCTTTATTCTGGTCTACACTATCTGTCTGTCTTTGGATTATATCTTAATAACTTGGCCAGGTTTATACCATTTATTATGATAATAATATATTAACTGTTAAAACACATACAATAGATAAAGATATTGTGCATTATATAGCAGGAAACCTAATGTATGCTTGTAAGTCACTTCTCACTCTGAGGCTAAGTATAGCAGTCAATCAGTGAGAAAATAATAATAAATATTTAAGAAAAAAATTTAAGGTAACCTATAATATATTTTTAATAAAGTCATTCCAAAAAGTAGTTTAATAAAATGTATAAATTTTTCAGATCAATCTCCTGAAGTATCTTTCAATCCCCTGGTGGAGCATAACTATTGTAAACTCTCAAAGGAGCATCATAAAATAAAAAGTAAGGATAAATTTTCATTTGACATGTCTATACTGTGTATTGACATTGTAAAAACATCCATTATTCAATTTCATACCCCATGTGTTGTAAGAGGCGACAGAAAAAACTGAAACATGAGATGGGCATCAGTATTTTAGTCTTTACAACTGAAAACAATAAAAAACTACAGTTGACCCTTTAGGAAATATCACAGCGTACACACAACCCGGATTTGATCTCTGCCACCACCAATGAGGTTGTCAAGATTTACCACATGCTCATCCACACATGAAAACATTGTGAGGAAGTAGTATAAGAGAAAAATGTTTGAGAAATTAGAATAATTTCAAAATGATGTGGATTTAACCAACATGCTTTGGGGCAGCAGGAAGACAATTCCTTGCCCTATATATAGGATGCAATTTTACCTTTTTTTATAGAAAATAATATCCCATCAGTATTTAACAAATTCTGCATGGAAACCTGATAACACTGACCTGGAGATTGAACCTAGGACCCCATGATGGGCAACCGCTCTTGCGGACTACTAGACCAATGAACTCATTCAATTCATTTTAATTATAATTGCAAAAAATAGATACAACAGTAAAATTTAAAGAAAAAAGCTTTAGTTAACCACACCCTCACCAACATCTTTAATAGCCAGTATAATACAGGCTATGAGGCATTCCATCTTAGTCCTCGGAGGTGATAATGCAACTGTAGCCTTCTTTCTCTGATGTTGGTTGCGGATGTCTATGGGCTACATTAGCCACTTACTATCAGGTAGACTATCAGCTTGTTTGTCACTTCAATTCTAACATATAGCATATTATGTAGCGGTCTAACTTGAACTCATTACAAAAATAAAAATATAAACCTCTAATTGTAATAATGTATTACTTTAATTCATTGTATTATTTGATTTTCAGGCTGGAAAAGTAACTTACCATCAGTAGGAACATCTAAAAAATATAGAGTCTACCAACAAAAGATAAAGAATTTAAGAAGACAGGTTTATCGTCTTAGAAAACAGCGAAAAGACATTAAGTCACGGCTAGAAAATGCAGAAAAATTATTAAATAATCTGATTTTCAAAAACTTGGAAAAGATATGAAACCCCCAGCAAAAGTTTTTGCGAACATGCAGTATTATCAGGCCCAGAAGAAACTAACTTGTCGGCATTTTAAAATTGAAGACAAAGTTCTTTCTCATTCTTTATTTAAAAGAAGTCCGAAGTAAAAAATATTTTATACTTCCTTCGACTAAGTCTTTAAAGCAGTTGCTTGCGAAAATTGAACTTGGTGCTGGCATTAATGAAATAGTTTTCTAAGAACTCCACAAAACTATAAACAATTTTGATACGTAAGATAAACTGTGTACAGTTTTATATGATGAGATGTCGATTACACCTCAAATTCATTATGACTCATCAAAAGATGAATTAAAAGGATTTGCTAGTCATAGTAAAAACCTAATAGCAAACCATGCTCTCGTATTTATGATTAAAGGCATAAGGAGACTGTATAAACAACCTGTTGCATATTATTTTACAAATTCATTCAATAAGTTTGAATTAAAAACAATTATAAAGGAAGTCATCAAAAATGTTCAGAAAAGTGGATTAGTTGTATTAGCTACTGTTTGTGATCAAAGCACAGTAAATGTGGAAGCCATTGAGGAGCTAATAAAAGCATCTAAAGCTAACTATTTAAGGAAAGGGAACAATGTGGCTCATTATTTTTTTGAGCTTAATGGAAAAAAGAATTATTCCATTATATGATGTCCCTCATTTAATGAAAGGATTGAGAAACAATCTCCTGACAAATAATATTTCATATGTTGATTATGGAGATGGCAATAAAACAAAAATAGTAAAATGGGAGTATCTATAGTAATTGTATGCAGCAGATAAATCTTTTGGTGAGCTGGGTTAAGACTGCAACACAGATATTTATCCACAGTGTTGCACTACTGAACACTTGACAGCCAGGGGATGTTTACCCACAGTGTCGGGATCTTATTCCAATTACGGTGATATTAGACAATTTATTTGATAGCATGAACTGTAATTAAGTATATTTATTATTATATTTCCGGGGTAGTTTTAAGTTTATGGAAGTAACTAAGTGTTGGAATGATCTCCCACCACCACTACGCACTATGACAAGTAAAGCCAGTTTTAAAATGATTATAGACGTCACTTACTAAACGAACTATTACTGTCATAATCGAATTATTTTTACTAAATTACAGGGCTGTTTTATAAATAAAATAAATAAGCATTGCCAGTAGGCGGTACTAGACTTATAAGCTCAAATAAGTTAGACTCAGTAAGATAAACATTATTTAATACTTTGTTGTTACTATTAGTTGTATTTTTGAAATAATTATTAAAAATATAAATTTTATGAAAAAAAATTATGAGAATTAAAAATATTTCTTAATTACTAATTTGAACTGGCTAATTGTGGTGGATTATCCCAAATTTTGAAATAATAAAAGAGATTAATCTGGCAAAGGTCTGCATAATGCGACAGCCAAAAATACAAAGAATCAGCAGGTAGTGACGAATAAAATTACAATGAATATTACATACATAAAATGTTAGAATTAAAAAGCTATAACAAACAATCTAAGGCGAATGATTGCTAATGAAAAGCATCTGGCGTCAACATGCCCCATCCGGGCTAGCATGAGCGGGGGACAAAAATTTTATCCCCCGATTATATCCACTGACAAGAGATAAAATTATCTTATCCCTATGCCAGAGCACGGCAACAGGGGAAAGGAGAAGTATATCCCCGTTTGACATAACGAGTAGACATATAACCCCATCCGTAGCATTGGACCAATGATGAAAGAGAAAAATTATGACATTTGAAAGTGACAATTTTAACCTAGTTTGTTGGACTTGGGTTTAAGTTTATTTTTTAGCATAATAATACGAAAAAGATGTCTCGAGCCTATTGGAGCATCATTTTCGCATCAGAATGTGAAAAACAAAACAGAAAATTAAATCGGCGATTGATACGTGATCAGAGTAATCCATTCGAATTCCCCGACAAGGAATTTCTACGCTTGTTTCGGATGCACAAAGATTGTGCTATGTATATGTGTGAAGAACTCCGCGAGGCTGTAAAACCTGTTAATTCTGTGAATGGACTACCAGTACATATAAAAGTAAGCATCGATTACAACATATCTTATCATTATCTTGTGCAACCATATCGTATATATACAATACTTTTGGCTAACTTTACTTAATATTTTTCTAGGTACTCACATCTATCAGAGTATTGGTAGATGGTAGTTACCAGAGAGGTACGGGTCAAGACCATGAAATGGCTGTTGCTCAAACAACAGTCAGTAAATACCTGACCCAAGTTACTGGGGCTATTGTTAGAATGTAAGCGACAATGTACTTTAATTAGCCTCTTATGTAGGTAAATAGAATAGGTTTCAATGAGTAAACTTCTTGCATTTCATTTTTAGACTAATGCCTAAATGGATATCATTTCCGGGCGTAGGACAAACAAGGCAAAATGTAGGTAGAGGATTCCTAGCAAAACATGGTCTGCCAGATATTCTTGGGGCTATTGACTGCACCCATGTCGATATTTTTCCTCCACCATTCCCGAATGGGGTTCAGTACATGAACAGAAAAGGGTGATCTACAATAAATGTTCAACTGGTAAGGTACAAGTTCTAGTTTCTTAAAAATCATAATATTCAAATTTTTTAAATAAACGGTATTAGTTGTATTCAAGACTAATTTTTCCTAGGAAAAGGTAAGACAAAAGACTAATTATCATAACTTTTTTGTCCTAGTGTTAGATCCTGCAACCTTTCAGATTGCAGTCCACCTTTGCGCTACTGAGACTATGGATTAAATGTTACAGGTTGTGGATGTTGAGTGCCGAATCATTAACATAAATGTACGGTCCACCATCCAGGGCGAGTCCACGATCAGTTCATATTTAACAACTCAAAGGTTAAATTAGAAATGAAACGTCTGTATGATAATAAAATCGGTCAATACTATCTTTTAGGTATAATGTTTTAAATTAAATTTTCAAACTTATAGTTCAAAATTTTAAATTAAGAAATATGTTAACTTTTAGCAAACCTTGTAAAATATCTAAAAAGCTAATCTGCATAATATTACGAATTAAAAAAACACAAGACACATAATCATAATTTTTTTATTGCTTGTATTTTTGTTCTTCGTGTACAATTATTAAAATTAAAATTTTTGTGAAAATCTGAAAAGAGAATTACAAGCATGAATTGATACCTATATTATAAAATACAGCATTAAAAGAAACAAATATTTTACAGGGGACTTGGGCCATGCATTAGAGCCTTGGCTGATGACTCCAGATTTGGAAGCTGCACCAAATAGTTCTGCAGCAAAATACACACAATGGCATTGCCAAGTGAGAAACTGTGTGGAAAGGGCAAATGGGTACCTCAAAGGCACATTACGAAGCTTGGGAATTGACAGGGTACTCCACTACAGTCCGGAGAAAGCTTCTCAACTAATATATGCTTGCACAACACTAAACAATATCATGCTACATTGTAGGTATGATTTGTAAATATAGGTACATTATAGATTACATTATACACATAATTATTATTGGAATATTTGCTTACTTTTGATAAACTTTATAAATTTAATTTATATATTGCAGAATTCCAATGGAACAACCAATGGTCAACTCAGATGTAACAAGTGAACAAAGTAATCCTCTCACGACATCTGTGGATCAAACCAGGCTGTTGACAATTGCCCGGCAAAAAAGAGAAAGATAAATAAATACATACTTCAGCTAAAACTTATTTGTATGATTACTTTTTCATCCTTTCAAGTTTATTTCTATGACCTAGGTGGGCATTCTGTGCATGTAACAATTGGTTTTGTTCACACAGAAGGCTATTTTGCTTTTTGAGCCTTTCATCTATACTCTGAAAGATAAGGTCAAATTTATATAGACTAGCAAAACAATATTAATCAGGAAAGGAATAATAGCATTTTTTCAATTAGTAATGAAATAAAAAAAGAATTGTTACTTGTAAGCATGCATTATTTTCTTGCCAGAGGCGATTAAAAACATGCGACCATTCTTTTTTGTTTTGGGCTGTAGCATAGCGGGTGGAATGGGCTGAGTGGCGGGTGGAAGGAACTGGATGGCTGGTGGAAAGGGCTGAATGGCTGGTGGAAGGGGCTGAATGGCTGGTGGAAGGGGCTGAATGGCTGGTGGAAGGGGCTAGATGGCTGTTGGAAGGGACTGGTAGAATATTTTCTACGGTCTACCTAGTACTTATTTTTAAAGAAACTTTAATGAGTATTTTGGATTCAAAGTTTATTTACGTTGTACTTTCGTGTTAGGTCTTTACTAAATTACCTACTCGTTAAACCTAAATGTGGCTCTTTAAAGGATTTTCCCAAATTTAAGTGCCTATTTAGCTTTGGTGTATAGATGGTACGCAGCATCGCCAGTGAGCAATAATTGCTATAGCAATAATTATTATTTTTCGGAGCTGGACTTATATATGAAGAACACTGGAATAGATTGTTAGGTGTAAAAGTGGCCGAACTACTTTTTCATAAAATATAACTTACCGCTACTTAATTTTGAATGTTGATTAAAAGTTTTATTTGTAATTTTTTAAAATTAGTATTATTTCCGTTTCCGCATCCGTTTCTGTTTCCGTTTCTGCAAAAAAAATATTTTTAACATCTGTTTCAGTTTCTGCTTCCGAAATGACACTTCCGTTGCATCACTAATAATAATCGTGTTTGATGAACCGTAATTATACTAATTAAATTAATTGCGTAGTATAATTTGTTTGATTTGATAAATAGTATATTGTATTTGTGTTAATTTGATTGTATTAATTAAATTAATTGTGTAGAATAATTTGTACTGAATTTAATTTGGTGATAATCGTATTTAGTGATGATGCCTTCGCACCGGTCACCGACGCTCCACTTGCAAGCGGAACTGCGCTGGGCTGCGAATGCTCACAGCTTGATAGGGAGACCAGATCGACGAACGACGCCTACCAGACCGCTCGAGACCTTGCCGGAAGGTATGCCACCGTACGGCGAATTGCGGACGAGCACGTCAAGCTACTGTTGAACCTCCCACTGCTAAAGGACCGGGCCAGACTACGACCGGACCTCGTAAATCCGGTCTTGGTGGCCTGCAATTCGTTGAGACGGCTGGATTTGCCGGTGGACGAATGGTCCTTTTTGTTGCTCCATATTGTGCTGTCCCGCCTGCCTCTCGATCTTCGGCGCCATTTTGAGGAGAGGTACGGCGGAGACGGCGCCTCCTATATTCCTCCCTTCAGGGGTCTGCTGCGGTTTTTGGAGGAGCAGTGCCGGCAGATCGAAAACGCAGCGGGCACCGTCGAAGACCTACGGACTGCCAACCGAACCGTGCTCAGGGAGAGGCGGAACTCCCGGGCAAGTCGTCGTCAACCCCCCTCAGACCGAGTGGTGCTCCTGCGGGAGAGCGTCGCCCCCTACCTTCTTATAGTGGCCTAGTGGCCTGGGAAGCGCCCCTCTGCTCCTATTGTAGAGCATCCGAACACCGTGTGACGTCGTGCCCTAAACTATTAGGCAAGCCGGTCCCAGCGATAAGAACCATCGCCAGGGAGCGCCGCTGGTGCTACTCATGTTTGGAAAGGCACCTGCAACGAGACTGCCCGCACCAGCGGCCCTGTCCGCACTGCCAGGGCAATCACCACGCCATTTTGTGCCTGGGTGCGAACGGCGCTTCCTCTCGGGGCTCTGCCGGGCCCTCATCCCCCACGGGCGGGGGCGCTCAGCCACGCCCTCTGTCGGGTGACGCTCGTCGGTCTCCGGCCGGCAACCTTGCCCCTGGTTTGGAGGGGGTCCCTCCCACGACCAGTCGGGGGGTAGTTCCCCCAGGGGCGGGGGGGTTCGTCACCCCCCCCCCCTCAGCGGGTTAAGAGGAACTTTACTGCCACTCAGCGGTCAGCAAGACCCTTCTCACCCCCGTTGGCTGAGAGGCCGCGACTGGAATACGACCCCCCCCCCTTTGGTCGGTACCGGTAATACGGGGTTCCTGCGAACTCGAACTTGTCCCGGGCCTCAAGGCCGAGGTTCCCAGAACCTCCTCAGGTCGGCCCGTTGGGCAGAGTGAGATGCCGCCGGAATGCCGCTTTCCGGACCCCCCGACTTGCGTGCCTGTTCGATGGAGGCAGCTCCCGCTTGGAAGCTGCCGCCCTAGCTCCCACCACGGCCGCCTTCACTGATCCTTTAAGCCGTCCACAGTCCACTTGTCAAACTGTTCTGTTGCCGACGGCCTCAGTGAAGGTGTACAACTCGAGTGGCGACTGTTTAACCGCTCGCGCTCTATTGGACTCGGGTTCACAACGCTGTGTGGCCTCCACTCGGTTGGTGGGAAGACTGGGGCTCCCCTGGAGCTCTGAATCATGTCTAATAGTAGGTATCGGAGCGGCCGAGCCTCCTGCTCCTAGGGGACAAACAAAGCTGGTGTTTGGTCCTGCAAGCGAACGCCTCCATATCTTAGTTAAGGTAAATGTCCTCGATGACATTGTAGGTTTTCTTCCAAACGTCCGTATAAATGACAGCGCGGTTCGTTGTGCTTCGGGCTTGAGACCGGCAGACCCTCAATGGTCCCAACCTGGACCTATAGATTTGTTGCTGGGGGCCGACGTGCTGGTCATCACACCCTACACCCGATGGCTTGCCCTCCACGTATTTGGGCACAGCTTCTTTGGACCGGTTCTGTGGTCTCCACCGCCTCACACGGCCGACCCGCTCACTATGGTGGGCGTGTCCCTTTCGGACGTCGTCCAGCGGTTCTGGGAAATTGAGGAGCCACCACACGCGCCTCGAGTCAACCCTCTGGACCGTGAGTGCGAGTTGTTCTACCAGAACAATACTGGTCGCCGCGTCGACGGTCGCTTTGTTACCCGCTTACCCTTTCTTGACTCACGGCCCCCTTTGGGCCAATTTCGTACTCTGGCCGAAAAGAGATTACTTTCTATGGAGCCAGCGTTTCGCGACAAGTATGTCGAGTTCATGCGCGAGTATCAAGAGCTGGGTCACATGTCACTGTCCCACTTCGACTGGCGGTCACAGGAGCACTACTTCCTCCTCCACCATGCGGTCTTGAGGACCCCTGGGAGTAAGATTCGGGTAGTTTTTGACGACTCCGCCCCCTCGTCAAATGATGTGTCCCTGAACCAGTGTCTCCACTCTGGTCCTAAATTAATCAAGGACATATCCGACATTTTGACTCACTTCCGTCGGCACTAAGTTGTTTTTGTAGCCGACATTCGGATAATGTTTCGACAATCAGTGGTCCATCGTGATGATCGTCGATATCAGCTGATATTGTGGCGCGAGAAGCCCAGCGATCCGATCCAAGTGTTTGAGTTGAACACCACCACCTATGGACTCCGGTCCAGCCCGTATATCGCCATGCGAACCCTTCTCGAACTTGCTGAGAGAGAGCGTCTAAGATACGCTCGGGGGTCTTCTATCTTGGAGACGTCGGTCTACATGGACGATATTTGCACGGGCGCCTCCACCGTCGAGGGAGCTCTTGTACTCCGAGACGAATTAATTGCCATCCTGAAGTCAGGAGGCTATGAGCTGCGCAAATCGTTGTCGATTTGAAGAGGAGAGGATCAACAAGACCCTCATCTATTCGAGCATCCTGACAATCCTAATTTGTTGACTGCTGGGCATTCAATATCAGCCTGTTCAGGATACCTTCACGTATCGACTCAAACTCGATCCCCCTCCTAAACCCTGGACCAAGCGCTCTGTGTTATTGACTGTAGCCCGCACCTTTGATCCTAATGGATGGATCACTCTGGTCATTTTTTTTGGCTAAATGCTTCCTTCAAAAACTCTGGATATCCGGGTTGGGCTGGGACGACCCTATAAGCGGTGCTCTCCTGCGAGAGTGGCTCTCCATTGTGACCTCTCTTCCGGACATCAACCGGGTCTCCACGCCAAGGTGCTTTCTCCCTCCAGGGAAATGCAGGGCTGCCCTGCATGGATTTTGCGACGCCTCTGAGAAAGGCTATGCTGCGGTCGTATATTTGCGGACGGTGAGCTCTTTTGGCTATACTTCCGTCCATCTCGTACTTGCTAAAAGCAAGGTTGCTCCCATTAGGTCCCGCTTAACTATCCCTAAATTGGAACTGTCCGGAGCCGCTCTTCTCACGCGACTCCTCAACCACGTTCACTCTTCTTTGAAGTCTGTAATCGACATTACGGACGTCTACGCTTGGTCGGACAGTGAGATAGTACTTTGTTGGCTCCGAGCTGCACCTCACAATCTTGAGGTCTTTGTGTCTAACCGCGTGTCTCAAATCCAGAATTCTGGCACGCCTCTAATCTGGAGACATGTCTCAGGGGAGT